CTCTTTCCTAGGTAGTTTAATCTAGCTTGAAGTGATATCACCTTTTTTCTGAACATTTTTCCTTTCAATAGCTTTTTTTTTTTTTTTTTCCGGTAGTGGGAATCGAACTCATGATCTTGTGCTTGCCAGGCAGACTCTGTGCCACTGAGCTAAATCCCCAGCCCCCATTTTTACTTTTCAACTGAGAGGCCCCAGTATATATAAAAATTTTTCCTAAAGAAATAGCTTGTAGGAGGAAGACAGAGGTACAGTTTATGTCACTGGAGAAAAATACCTAAAAGCACTGGAGGATGTAGTTTGCACAACTGCACATAATTCTGACTGGCTGGAACTTAGAGCACATGACAGGAAGGAGTCCTGGAAGAAGGACACAGGGAGGGAGATGGGAAGCCCGAGGCATGGAGAATCTTGGGTGACACTGAAGCGATTGATCCATTTGCAGAGAGCCACTAGAAGTTCAACCATGAGCAGAATGATATCCATACATTTATTTTCCAGAACCCTTCTCCCAGTGGTAAGCTATTTGCTCTTTCTTGGTTTCACAGGCAGAAGAGGTGCTCCAAAGGTTCCTGCAGTCACAGGCAGCAATAGAAGAATCCATTCTGCAGTCAGATAAAGCTCTCACTGACAGGGATAAGGCCCTGGCAGGTAAATGTGCAAGGCACAGGCAGCTCCCAAGTGTGTGTAGATTCCTGCAATGATTCTGACAGACCCAACAGGAAACCTTCCCCAGTGTGTAGCATCTTTCCTTCTGTGGAGGGTGCATGCTGATGAATGTGAACAACAGAAAAGAGTTGTAGTTATGTCATCTACAAGGGCAGTGCATTTCCATCCTGTTCTGAAACATGTTCTGGACAGCATGGACCTGTGTGAATTCTCTGACTTTCCTGTGCTGCCTTTCAGCTTTGCCTTGGTCTCTGAGCTCAGGATAATATAATTAGTTTTCACTTGTTTTTCTTCCATTTTGAAATTTCCCTGGCACAGTGGAGAAGGCCCAGAAGGAAGCAGCTGAGAAGGACAGGGAAATTTCAATAGCAAAATTACAGGAGGAACAGCAAATAAAAGAAGCTCTAGAGAGGACCCACAAGGAAAACATGGAGCAACTGGAAAAGAAGCTACTGTTGGAGAGGGAAAACCTCCTCAGAGATCAGAAAATGATGTTGGAGCAACATATGAAGGTGAGTACACCTTGGCTCAGTAGTGTCTGATGTCCTGGGTACCCTTGCAGGACGGTGAAGGTGATATCCGGATCGTGGAAGGAGGGACCATCACCATTTATTGTCTGTAATTTGATAAAGCTCTGGATTTTTGGCTGTTTTTGTTTTAAAGATGACTCCTTTAAATTTTGCTTCATATGTAGAATTTAGAGAATTCACATCATCTTGGCTCCTATAGTTCTTTTGATGAATTCCTTGGAGAATATGAATAGCATTTATTTTGCTGTTTGGGGATTTTATAAAATGATCTCATGAGGGCCTGATTAACCACATTTTTCAAACATCTTTAGCCAACATCAATAGCAATTGGATCGCATTAGCAATACCAATATCATGAGGCACTCTAGTATCATCCAAAGACCCAGAGATCCAAAGAGATGGATCTGTGTTGCCATAAAACTCTCAGAAATGTTCAGACTTAAACACCCAATGTAATGACAGCTTCTGTCAATAAATTTACTGGTTATTTGCAGATGTCCTAGTCACTTTTCCAGCTCCTGGACAAAACACCCAATATGCACAACTTATAGGATAAGGGATAGCTTTATTTTGGTTGATGATTTCAGTCCATAGTTGGGCAGCTACAAGGCAGAAGTAGCACAGCACTGATGTATGGTGAAGAGAAAACTGCTCAGTCTGTGGCAGCCAGGAAGGGGAAGAACTGTGACCCACCTCTAACCAGGCCCCGCCTCTTTCATGGCATATTAAACTACTGAATCCAATGGCTGTATCTGCAGATTAGTTTAGCACCCCAGTAAGAGAATCTCCTTCCACACACATGAGTATTTTGGGGGATATTTTATGTAAACTACAATACCCCATGTGGATAGCCTACAGGTATTAGCTTATGATCTCAGAGGAATTCTGTCCTTGTCCATCTGGAAAGAACACAATTTGTTGTCATGCTTCTGCACAGCAGGATTGAATATTGGATGAATATTAAGAAAACTAAACTATGCTTCCTTCTCACAATATCTGGTCCAATTCAGATAATATTGTTTGTTGTTTAGTTATTTTGTGATTGCAAAAACGTTTATACATGTAATATAAATTCAGTTTGACAAAGTTTTTTAAGCAAAATGTCACTCTTAAAATAGCAGTACCATAATAATGTACTGCCCTTTTATTCATTTATTTTAGATCCAAATGGATTTGCTTAAAGAAGGATTCAAGAATAAATCTGAGGCAATGAATGAAGAGTTAAAGCATTTGCAGAAAAGAGTCAAAACTACAGAAAGTGATAATGATCCATTTATTACACGAGCCTTGAGTAGCGTAGGTGATGGCATAACTGCAGTGCTGACTGCTCCTGGTAAACTTCTTGGTAATGCTTTAAAATCCATTGGCTCACTTTTTAAGTAAACTTTGCTTTTCTTTTAAAATTCTAGATTATAGATTATGGATGTATGTGTTGGCCTATTCTGGGGCATATGTTTTTCATTTTCATTCAGGAAAATTTTAAATATATAAGTTGCTTATTGAAGTGTATCTGCATCTGGACCATGTTAGAACAAATCCCTGTACCTGTTGACAGGTAGTATTTGCTTTTAGGCAGCATATGCTTTATATATATATATATATATATATATATAAAGTCCATTGAGATATTGCTTTCAATTGCAAATTGGAAATTACTTCAATGTCATCTGCATAAATTCATAACACACATTTTATTATTTACTGATATTAGAATATAGGAAATGAAATGAGAGTGGATTTCTATTTCACTAAGTATAGAATCATCTTGAGGAGGGGCTGGGGATTTAGCTCAGTGGCAAAGCGCCTGCCTGGCAAGCGCAAGGTCGTGAGTTCGGTTCCCGGTACTGGAGAAAACCAAAAAAAAAAAAAAAAAAAAAAGAATCATCTTGGGGATAATGTAATGTAAAATAAAAAATGAAGTAAAAATGTCCCAAAGCATATACATACATAGTTGCACCAGTATTAGCCATGACATTATTATTTGTAAAAATACATATTTAAAAGTAAAATATCTTTTAAAAATTTGATGAGACACTGGCATCCTTGGGTCTTTCTGGGTAGAAAGTGTAGGAATTAGCAGTGGAAATGACACATAACTTTCATTACATGCTCTATTTTTGAATTTGTTAAGAAATTTTGTATTACAAAATTTGGATATGCAGTCAAAAATTTGAACTATAATACTAATAATGACAGCAATGAAAGTGGAACTGGCTTGTACATATGTGAAAGCAGACAGTGACATTTCACATTCTTTCAAGACATGACCCCAGCCAGCTCCATGAGAGATGTAAGACTGAGATCTGAGTACAAAAAAGCATAAAATCTGCATCCTAGGTTTTGAGGAATCTCCACACTGATTTCTACAGTGGTTAAACCAGTCTACACTCCCACCAACACTGGAGAAGATTTCCTTTTTCCCCATAGCCCTTCCAACATTTATTGTTGATTCATTTCTTGATAGTAAACATTCTTTCTAGAGTAAGATAGAATCTCAGTGTTGCTTTAATTTGCATCTCCTAAATGACTAATGATGTTGAACATTTTGCCTATATTGATTTGCTGTTTGTATTTCATCATCTGAAAAGTGTATTATATTCATCTCAGAGGCCCATTTGTGCATATTGTGAAGTGGTAAGAAATTGTTCAAAGGAAAGAAGAACTAGGGTGTGAGAAAGGGAAAGCAAGGAAGGGGAAAGGAATAGAAATACAAAATAGTTAAAGTGCTAGTTTGTCTGAGTTCATTGAAAATAAAGGTTTGTGCTAATATCATTTGGAGAATTTCTTATGCCTATATCTTGTACTCTGAGTAACTACTTTGAAGGTAATGGTACATAATGAATTAGCTATTGTTATTCTGGTATTATTTTGTTTGAAATTTTCATTTCTTTTCATAAAATAAAAAACTTGCATCTTCATCCTCTTTTCCTTTTGACCTTGTTTCTTATTTCCTATATTGTTTCAAAATTGATGTATAAATTTTCCTCTGACGTTTGGATCTCAATAAATATAGCCTCTACTTCCTGTCTCTGAATTACAGATTTAAGTTGTTAGGATCATAATTATCACACATGAAGAATATAGACTGGTTAAAAAGAACCTGTAATCATTGTAATTTCATTGTCTTTCTGTGGTGTCTGGAGCAGGGGGGACAAAGTGATTTTTCAAAGCTAGACCTCCTGATGGGAGGTGATAGAGCCTGTCATAGGGAGGCCACGTCTTGCCAGGTAATCATTAGATTCCAAGCAGATAGAGTTACAGTAATAAGCAGCACTGTTGGAGTCACAGTCTGTAGGCTCTATGCAAGGACAGTTCAGAAGGTTGATGTAAAAAAAAAAAATGAAAAGAAAAGAATCAAATGGAATCAAGGATGCTTTTCAAGAGTTTGAGTGGCAGCCTCAGTAATATTTCCCAGTCTGTACTTTGATCTGAGATAAGTTTAGACCCTAAACCCAGCAGTTATTGAGGAAGGTATGTACCCAGGGTTAGAAGCCCTACAATTTGAGGACAAGGATAACCTGATAGTGGTTTCCCAGTTCTCCTTCTAAGACACCTGTGAACATTTACTAAGTAGCTGTGCTTTGGATAAATAGGAATGCCCCATTATTACCTTAGTGAGAAATATAGAGGTCTCAAATGGAATTTCTGAAATCAAAGGAAAATGAAGATTCCAAAAAGTAGTACATATGTGAAACAATCAAAAATATTGACTACATGAATCTATTGTAACAAGGTACTTTGGTTATAAAAGAGAAGATGGAATCAACAAAACAACTGAGTCCTATTAGTACGGAAGAAGGGGAGAATGGATACTGTAGAGCAGCTACCTATGTCTCTCAGTAACTATCAGAAACAAGTGGGACAGATGTTAGGATTGTATTGAGCAGTAAGGACCATTGCCCAAAATGGAGTCCAAAAGCTTAAAACAGAGTTTGTTGAGTCACCCCCCCCGCCCCCTCTTCAAAGATCGCTCCAAAAACTCTGCCAGATATACTGCAGTTGTCATTGACTTCCTCAGAGCATGACCACAGCATGCTTAGGCAAACCGCTGGATCAATGGCTCCATGCCACAGCAACCCAGACACCTCACCAAACATCAGAGGCATCAGCAGTCCAGAGAATCACCAAACATCAGAGGCATCAGCATCCCAGACACTTCACCAGACATTGGAGGCATCCGAAGTCCAGAGACATTGAGTCCTCAGCAGAAGAGGATAGTCAGACAACCCAGCCAAAAAGCGAGTACCTCACTCTTTCCTCTAGTTTCCATTTTACAAGTGACAGAGATGCCTGCTGAGGGTGCAGGATAAACATTGACCTAACCATGTGGAAATGACTAGATTTGGGGGCAAAAGGTTTCTGTCCTTCTGGGGGACAGGAGAACACTTACCAATCAGTTAGACTTATATTTTGTTGTTGACCCCCACAATGTGGAAAGTCTATCTTGGAGACCGTGGCACAGGGTTCAGCAGGGGTGGGTGCAAGCTGAGCTGAGGTGGGGGGGGGAAGGCCATCCATAAGCAAGTACTTTGGCATAGCTGCCCACAGAATGGGACCAGGAGACCTGGACCTGTCCTGTTGAAGTGTGGCTTTTCTCCATGTAGTACTTGGTAACTGGCCTCGACTTGGGCAGCCCTTTGTTTAACATCAAAGGTTTTTGTGCTTACCTGTGGCTTCCTTTCCATAGGTTTTAGTAATTTTCTCTCTCCATTTCTGATTTTCTCTCCTCCCTCAGGATTTTGGGTATCAGAGTATTCCCCTTCTGTAGTTGTTGATTCTAAATAACTCAGAAAAACAGTTTAACAGGTGCAGTATCTTCCCGCATGGGAAGAGAGAAATTGGCCTCTTTAAACCTCCTGCCCCTGTTTCCGCATGCCCAAGATGGTGGCAGGCAGTGGGCGGAGGCAGGCGCAGCCAAACAACCTAGCTGACTCATCTGCTCTGGAAAACTCCTAAAGCCCCACCTAAACCTGCCACTTCCTGGGATAATTTGCTGATGTTGGTTTGTTCTTATTTTTATTCAATTTGATTTGTTGTGATAACTATGACTTAAATTTTATGCTGCTATCTGAAATGATATGTAACCTGAATCTGCTGATTGAATTTATGTAGTGTCTAAATTTTGAGATTTTGTTACCAGATGTGTATACTTTGTGGCTTGACTTTGCTATTTCAGTTTTTTTCTAAGAATAGGCTTTATTTCCTTTTTAATTGCCTAAGGGACATCCAGCCAGTAAGTCATCCCAGTTCTTGCCTCTTCAATCCGAAGGTGAGTTGTATTTAGAGGGGGAAATCCAGTGGGTCCAAAGGAAGCAGCACTGGTGCTCACCTAAAGCTGGAGAAGCCCAGCCCTAAAGGATTCAGCTGTACTACGTGAGAGCAGGACAGAATTTGCAGGAGAGTCCCTGTTGGGTCGCTACTAATGGGGACTGACCCAGTGACAGGCCTGCTGGATCCCAAGGATCAATGAGGAAACCTTGGCAGCTTCAACTTCTGAAAACCAGCCAACTGTTGCACTATTTGCATTGCAAGAGGAGCCTGAGTGAGATTATAGAACAACGGGTGGAAAAGCCAAAGGAAAATTATACCTCAAGGCCATTTTAGCTGATATGCAGCAAGGGATGTCCAACCTCTGAACTCTAATACTCAGGCCTATTAGTCAGGGGCCCCTGACTAAAACCCAGTACAACCCAGTTGCTTTTCGACCTCAGCTTGATGAGGCACTCTGTAAATACACTAATTTAGACTCTGAGTCTAGAGAAGGTCAGATTATCCTAAGGCAGTATTTTATTAGTCAGTCAGCTCCAGACATTCAGAAGATGCTCCAAAAACTCCACCTGGGCCCAAAAACTGAAATACAGCAATTGGTCAATGAAGCTTATTTAGTATTCAATAACTGTGATGAATTAGGGGACAAATGAGAACTAGATGAAGAGGCAGGCTAAAGCCGTGCTCACTGAGTTCGATAAGCCTCACTAGACAGTGCACAGCACTAGGCAAATATGAGATAATCCAAAGAGTGAGGGAAGCAAGTCAGAGTGCTTCAATTGCAAGTGAACTGGGTGCAAGGCAAAAGAATCCTGCAGAAACCATTCGATCCTTGTTGGACCTGTGAGAATGTGGAAATAGACCTGTAGCACTGGACAAGGGATGACATAATTTTCAGAGAGATATGAGGTCATCCCTCACCATGGTAGCCAGAGAGGAGGGCTGGGACAGTGAGAGGGGATGGTACCTGTTGTACTGTGCAAGGTTTTCACACAAGAGAATCATAATTACTTCATAGGAAGCTCAGGTAACTTTAGATGTTGTGACCAAAGAAATTATTCCTCTGTGATACTCGCATGACTTATTCAGTTCTAGTTTCCTTTGGGATGATCGTTCATCCCATTGTAAATTTGTTGTGGGCCTTGAGGGTATTATTTGGACAGCTTTCTTTACCCATACTCTGAAATGCCATTTGGAAGCTTTTCTTTTCTTTCTTTCTTTCTTTATTTATTTTTTGGTTTTTGTCCGGTACCGGGAACCGAACTCACGACCTTGCACTTGCCAGGCAGGCGCTTTGCCGCTGAGCTAAATCCCCAGCCCCGAAGCTTTGCTTTTGGAAGCTGCCTTTATGGTGATACTGAAGTGCCCCATACCAATAATTGGAAGAGGCATACTTTATATTCAGAGCCACTCTATATTCAATCCTTTGGCAACCTATGTCATAGTTGCTAAGGACACAGCCAGCCTGACCTCACAGAGCATAATTTCTCTTCCAGCAGTAGATCCTCAAACATGCCATGATGGCACCCTGGGGAAGGCTGTCAAGGCCACTCTAATTGACTTCATCTA